TTCCTCGAAGAAACTGTCACTTTCGTGTGATTGATACGTATTGACAGCTCTGTATTTGTGTAAAAATATATTTGTCATATGTTCTCAGCACACACACTCACATATAAATTATGCATTTCAAAGCTAAAATAATAGGATCAATTCGAAAAGAGTAGAAGCGATTTCAAAATGTTACATGTACTTAAATTTTATCTTTTATCAGATTCATCTCGTAGAAATTCCACAGCTGATCTCTTTTTTGTCTCTCTTTCTTATCGATAGACACTAATATAAACTTGATTTAATCCGAGAAAGACTAATCTCGATGAAAATTAAAAAGATTGCGAATAAGAAAAGAAAGTGTTCTTTCTTTTGTTAATAAGCTTACCACTTTAATACAAAATGTATGATCAATCAAAAAATAGATTCTACCTTTCTTTTCTACGATACTTTTCCATCTTCATTATATCATTATTAATTCTCGGTATGAAACTTATGTCTTCTTACTTATAAAAAGAAATCTCACAAGTTTCTTGATAAAACTATATCCATTTGCTCATTATAACGGACAAATAAAAGTTGTGCGCCCTTCAGAGTGAGAACGAACTCTAAAAAAAGAAATAATCAATCACGCTCGATATGTCGGGGATCAAAGTACGCGATAATAAGCCAATCCATCACTATATAATAATTCAGACTAATTTGTCAGTAAGCAGGAACGAAAGTGCGACAGATCGATTAGATGCTTAATGATTCAGCGTAAACTTTCTTGCTCGAAAGAGGGATATAACACGAAGCTTTAGAAAGGGAGGAGAGATGAACAACCCTAAGAAGGCTTTACCAAGTGATCGAAACGAATTGTATCCACGATAACGAGATATTTCACGGTCAGTAGCGTATTTTTGCCCACTCACGAGGACACGGGAGCTTAAAGAAAGGGATGCGGAGAGAAAAAAGAGAGGACAATGGCGGCTGGTTATGAAAGAAAAAAAAAGCGAAGCGCAATAGAAACAGAGAGTCGGAATGGTTGTATGTGGAAACGGCAGTTTAGTCAGGGGTTGACCTGAATTCAGGTGGGGTGAATCAATATCCTGCCTGCCTGCCTGCCTGCCTACCTAGCTGGTTGGCCGCGTGCTCTGTTCGCTTCGCACAGTTACCGTAGCAACCGTAGACTCCTTCCTTTATTAAAATATGACCCACGTCGTTTTCTCCATCGTGTCGCGCGCATACGACGCTCTTCTCTCGCCTACTCCCGAATCGCCCGGGTAGGGATGGGATTATCGTATTTTTCGGAATTTCGCTCGACCGCGGATTTATTACTTTATGGACCGGCTTGTGTCCGACGGTGCGAACCAGAGGTGTAATAGCCTTCGTGACTGCAAGGATGCGACCTTGATACCCCAGAGGTCCCGCGAGGTTCGACGAACCTGGATCGCGAACCTGGAGTCACGCGAGCTCTAGACATTGCTCTAGAGTCTATTAGAGTAACACTCTCGCGATCGAATCCACATACCTCATCGAAAATTGCGTTGATGAATATTAATTTGCCGATCGATGAAGGAGATATAGATACGCTCGTACTTTTCTATTATTACATATCGTTCTTTTTTTTATATCTTCATGCATGGACTCTCAATCGAGATGATTGTGACTGAAATATTTTATAGCGATGAACACCCTCGATATATTCCCTCGTTTTTTTTTTTTTCGAGAATATTAAACAATATATTTTTATTTTCGACGATACGATTGTTGGAGAAGAGACAAATGATATAATTAAGAATTATCGTGAATAATAGAGAGCAAATTCACTGAAGATGTGACATTTAACAAAATGTTAATTATTTGATGTATTAATCAACTTTTGCATTAATTATATAAAATCGTTGAAGACGATAATAAAATATTGCAGTGATTGAATTACGCACTATAGTATATATCACATCCCCATTGATTTCGCTTGATTTGCATCTGTTTCCGAGATGTGACCCGATCCATCATTTGCACAGTTTTCGATGCAGATACCCTTCAAACCTTTTGACAACCGGCTAAAAACAGAGCTCAACAGTCGTCACTGCATTAACAACAATGGCCCTTATTTACGCGACGATTTAACGTCGCTTCATTGAACTCCATTGCGTTTTCGTCGGGATCCCGCCAGGCCGGGGATATCTGGCCGCGCCGATGAACCGAATAAACATCCAGGTCAACACACGTGACAGCCTCGAGAGATCGTTTGGTCTTGACGAGGCCGTGGTTATACATACTCTAAATCCGCTACGAGGCGTAGGTCTATTTATGTCGCGGTAACGAGCAGCTCTTGCGATCCTGCGAAACGGCGCTCGCGGAATCTTGTTTCCTCGAGAACGCACAATGTTCACTCGGGGAAGGGAGATGTTCGGATTTATCACGGTCGAATGGCACGTGACGGAATAATGCCAAATGACTTGCTCTGCGTGTCGTCTGTTTGTTTGAGAACCGGGATACGTTCGGATATAATCGGAATAATACGCTTTACGTAATATAATACGCTTTAACGTTACAGACGACTTTTATGAAAGCATTTTTTAATTTAGAAAATATCGAATAAAATACATAAATAATATATAAAATGAAATAAAACGTAATATAGAATAAAATATGTAATTTTTATAAAAATGTAATTTTTCATTTTTTAATTTTTAGCATTTAAAACATTTTTTTTACTCGCGATTGACAAAATATAAATTCGCTATGTATTTGTGGTTAATAAGAATACTCGGTAATTCGAAATGCATTGGAAAGACCCCGTAGCTTATTCTGATTTGATTTTATCGGAGTCTTATGCCCGAATGAGAAAGGGAAGGTTCATAAATGACAAATCGAAAATTGAGGTCGATAGGTCAGATAGGGATAGCGAGTGACAAAGATCGATAGCTTCGAGTTCAGTGGCGTAATAGGCTCGCCGTAACCCTCCTTAGTTTCTCCCTGTCTACTACTTTCAGCTGTTAATTAATCTTTATCCCTATATCTTCTCTCTCCCGCGACGAACATCTCGATTGTCAAAGAAGACGGCGGACGAAAAAGGTCAAACCGTGACGAATTGTTTGGGAGAGACATATTCGCGAAAAGATGTGAAAGCGACGAGAGAACATGTGGCTTTAATTAATCCTATGTCAGACGCAACGTACAGTGTTATCTGACGTCCTAAAATTACATGATACATTAAGTAAGAGGATCCTAAACTTGATTCCCTTCGTATTTTATATACAGATTGTGCCGCCTCTACTGCTAATGACGGATTCCTCGAGACAAGAATTCTCGTAACAAAACGTCGAGTATTATAATAGCTTTCGCGAGCTATTGAAAGTAAAGTGCTTTTCACAAACTAAGCCTCAGGGAGGAAAAGGGAAGGGGAGAGGACAAATTTTGATAAGGAAACTTTATTCCCCGTTTAATTTCGAGTAAACTTTAGATTTTAATTTGTGTTACTTCCGAAGTTTATATCAAATATCAAAAGTTGTGACGCAAATAGAACTACCTTGATATTTTTTAAAGAAAAAATAATCTTATATTTATTAAGTATCCGTGTGACATTTAACAGCTGATTTCTTAGAAATTTCAGAAAGATTATATCTATGTTTATTTTTAAAATTATTTTATTTAAAAATTACATCGCTTTATATATTTAATAAAAAAGATAGATTCTTTCACGTAATTTTCAGCACAAAATTTCTATTTCTTAGATATCTTTCAAAAATTCAAATTTGACATCAAATAAAGTCCGGATTTTTCTATTATATAAATAGTATTCGCTATATATTATGTCATATCTCCTGTACGATTTAACCTAACGATACGAACCTAAACCATCTTCGACTGCTATTAAACTTCCGCCAAGTCAAGATCCATAATATGCTAACTCGCGTAGAAGTTTGGTAACGAGAGTTGTATGATGTATACGCGAGGCTATATACGTGTATTAAATATACAGGTGATTTGGATCATCGGCCAACTGACAGATCGATTTTTCAGTTTAAGAATTTTGTAGCAAGTATTGCGAATATTTTATCGCGACGAGATATAAAGTAGCTACGCGAATATTAGCTTTCAAGTAGGTAAAGAATGTGGAGGAATGTTAAAGAATGACAGGAGTGGTGCTTTATCATGCGTACACGGTATGGCAATTAAATTCGCAGACACATTTTTTCCCTTCTAATCCGACAAGCGGGACAAAATACGCAGTTAATTTCTTATCTCCTCCCTACATTCCACGTTTTATTCTGATAATGTGCACACCGCGGATTTATATACAGATCAGGACACTTATTAAAATGAAGTGTATAAAAAATGTAACCAATATGGCGGCCAACACAGGTCATATAATAATATATTTATTGTAATATAATATTTCACTATTTTTAAATAATTTAATAAAAATTATTCTTAATATTTAATATTTATATTCAGATTTTAATCGTGGTTTTTTAATCGTGTTTATTTCTAACATTTTTTCGATTGTGCACAAGATCTAACACATAACACTGTCAAAATAAAAAAATCTGCGCTGGCGTACATATTGAATAAATCGGCCTGAGTTGTTACGCTTGACAGCATGTAGTCGATATAAAAGTGTCCTGACCTGTATATAAAACCGTGTGGTGCAAACGATTATTTTATTTGGTATAAACCGTCTCGTCGCTAAAAATGTCGAGCGATATTTTAAACGGCAAAGGAATTAAAAAGATTTATAACGAAGAAATTGTAAGGATCTTGAAAGTTTGAAAGGAAGATATTTGCAGAGAGACGAAACACGATTTTGTCACGCACGTGTCAAGACTCGAATAAGGTCTCTCTAATATAATGAATATTTCAATCCGAGAGTTTCTAAAATGCTTTTAACGTTGAGAGCTCTATAATGAAGCGATAGAAAGGCAAGAAAGAGGTAACACCCGAACGAGACGAATATAAATAAAAGTATACTCGCGCAAATTTGCTATTTAAGCACTGTACAAAATTGTGGAGAAACGCGCACTACTTACCCGTCTGCACGAGCTTAAGCGCGACGCCATTGTTTTGCTTAAGGGGCTCGTTGAGGTTCAACTGCGTGAGGTCCTTGAGGGGATGATTGGCGGCCTCTTCGGAGCCGGAGGCACGATTATTTTGCATAGTCCCGGCGTGTTGCTTCTCGTACCGGCGTCCTTTCTTGTCGACGTTGCCGCCGCTGTTGCACAGAGTTTGCCTCCTGCTGGCCGTCTGACCAGTCTCTCGCCTTCTCTCCTTCTTGTGTTTACGCACGTCGTCGTCCGACGCGACGACAATTCGCTGTTGCTGTTGTTGTTGTTGTTGTTGTTGCTGATGATAATAATATCGTTGCTGATTCGCCTCCTCGTGATAACCGTTGTTCACTGCTGCGTCAGTGCCGTTGACAGTCAGTGACACGGATTCCCGAATCGGATTCTCATAGATACGCAGGAGCTCGTCCGCCGGATAGAAGACGTACATGCCCAGAAATCGTCGCCGCGAGCGCGATTATCGTTGCTGCCGCTTCCGTTGCCGTGGCCGCGATCGTAGACGACGCCGTCGCGGATTCCGTCGTGGTCCCTGCTGCTGCTGCACCCGCTGTTGCTGCCGCCGCACTTCTCGGATCCGCGCGAGCCAACATCGCTGTCCAACGATACATCCTGAGTCCTGCGTGCGGGATCGGTATCGGCGCCTGTCGCCGTCAGGAGACGCATGATTTTTCTACACCTTCTAGATCCGAGCGATCGCGAACGCGACGCGACGCTTGTATCTCCTTTATCCCGTTAGATTATGTCCCTTTGCCACATTCACGCGTCGTTGGTGCACTAGGAAAACGGTCAAGAATAATCGATTTTCGATTTTTATTTATGTATGCATATTTCACTTATTATTTCCACATCAACGAATAACGATCGGTTATTCTTTTCGCATTAAGCGAGATACGAACTTTATAAAGGATTATAGATTTTTTCTGTTTTTTTTTATTATTTAGTTATTATTCCAGAGAAACAAATTTAATGACGAATAACATGATAAATTTTTCCGTGCTAAATTATTTTGCAGCGTTTGAAAAAAAATTATTATTAAATATGTATCAAAAATATTAAAAATTGAAGAAATTATTTACGCATTTTTTCTTTAGATATATCGATTAAATTGATTATTCATGATCGGTCATCCTTACGATGTATTTTGACGGTCAGTCTCGATGAGAAGGTAAAATCTAAGGGGCTGGCTTTATGTTGGTGATTCGTGGCGATTTTTGAGCTGAAACAGAAATATTTGTAACGATAAAAAAATTAATTCAACATAGGAGTCTTTATTTAAAGGAAAATACAAAAATACATATAAATTTGAGTATAATTTTAGCGGCGATATAAATAAAGCGTCGAAAGAGCAATTGAAAATGATGGTTGGGTCTGCCAGTTTTTTCCGAAATTTTCGAACGCGTTTAATTCGAAGAGTATAAACATTTTTCATTGTGTTGACGGGTAGAAATAGCCCTCGAAAATATTTAACACACCCATTCCGAAATTTTCAATAATACCGTTTCAATCCGAGCGCCATATTATAACGTGGCGTATAAATCGTCGGCGCGATATTCTCTGGAGAGATCTACGGGTCGTATCAACGTAGAGATGTGCTAAAAGCGGCAGTAACAGAGTACAACTTTGAGCGCGTAATGCAACGCGCATATATAAGTAGAATCGTTTATCTCGCGCGACCGCTGTTACGAGTCATGAAGATACTTTTATGAATCTTTTTCCTCTACGCGGAACGACCGTGTCGTGTAAAATCCTCGCTGCACACACACACCCACACACGTTTATGTGTGCGTGTCTAAACTACTTGCATGCGATTCACGGATTATTCGCACGCTGTATAAATCGCACGGAAGTTTACATATACTTTTCGACGTGGGAACCGGCGCACGTGTCCCGTAAAAGAAACATATCAATCAATCGTGATAACACTCGGAAATCCACGCCAGCTGATAGTCACGTACCGGAATAACTTGATTAGTCGTTGGAAATATATACGCAGTGTGCTTAACACATTACGGATGAATAGTGCAAAGTTGTGTTTTTACAAACTTATTCCGATCACATTTTGTTGATGAGATATGTGTTTCTAATTTTCGAAACCATAAATTATTATTATTTTTATTTTAATTATAATTAGATGTATTGCAGATATATGTGTGTGTGTGTGTGTGTGTGTGTGTGTGTGTGTGTGTAATATATAAATATAATTATAATGAAAGTAAAAGTAATAACACGCTCATATTTGTGGGTGTGTGATAGAAATGTATAACAATATATGTCATTTTAATGGAAATTTTGCGAAATTTTGTCAACGTGAAAATTGATCAAAATATTAATAGATATTAAATGGATCAAAATCCTATCAATAATAATCCATCAGTATTAGGAATGATATCTACTAGCTGCGCTAGAAAGGATATATAATTGTCACGTTAATAAATTGTAAAGCAGTAAAAGATATATGGTAGTGCTTTTGAATTAATAAAAGATATTACAATAAAAAGAAGAAAGGTATTAATGCGGAATTAGCTTCAATGAAAACGTAATGTCTTTCTTTTACAATGTTTCTCAAGTTATTTATTAATTATTTCCTTGAGATCGGTTATGGATGTTTCAAGACGAAAATTATTAGGATTAAAACTATTAAGATAAACTGTTCTATTCTCAATTTTCGTTAGAGAAAAAAATTGAAATTAACAATATAAAGAAACACCGTGTATTCGAACTATTCGTATTAAAAAATTTAGCTCGATAGCACGCGCTTTCATTTTGTCGGACAAATATATAAAGCTTGTGTATTTTGATTCAGTTCGATCGTCAATGCGAACAGAGAGAAAGAGAGACAGAGGCAGCAATCAAGCTTGTGCATTTCCCTGAGAACCAAATAGAGGGAAATATATATATATATATACACATACATATATATAATATATACGCATGTGTGAAAGGCTAGATAATTACAATTTCGTTATAATGGACGTCCTCGCTAATGACACTTTAAAATCACTCTTGGCACTGTGTAAATTAATATATCACAACGTTCTTTTAAGGGTTTGCGCATAGAGCGCAGCGGTAACGGTAATCATATTTTTATGTCATAATGCACCACTATTCGCGTTCAAGCTCTCTTGCAGACTGAATCATTTTTTTTTTCGACCGTTAAAAGCGCGGAAATCCCGTTACGCAATGGGATTATATCTTTGTCGCGCTGCACATATTCTGTTCAAATTGCCGAAACGCTAAAGTGTCCTCCGTCTCGGAAGAAAAAGTTAATCTTTATTAACGTCAAGAAATAAGTCGGCAAAAATAAAATTTTTTAGGGGACGTAGTTTTCGCACAATTATTAGGTTGCTTAATGGAGAAAACGTTCAAAGAAAAAATAAATGAAGAAGAGATAATTATAAAAAATAATTTTTTGGAGAAGATATTTTTATTTTTTTTTTTTTCTACGTATAACGAAACCATAAAGTTATATCATAAAAGAATTTTACTTCACGCATTCTTTCGTTCATCGTAGCAAAAGAGAAGACTCGTAAAAAAAAGTTGGTTGCAGTACTGTTAATTTTCTATTGAACATTATGTAAAGTATACGATATTACAAGAAGTTTTGCGGAAAAGAGATAGAAGATTATTCAGACCTCTCCTATTTTTCTCGTGTTAGAATGTATGCGGGCCGATCTTCTCGTTTACGAGACAGGATGTTTTATTTTACCATATACGCGCGCGGAAAATTGCATTCAGTTGATGAATCGCGGGGGATTGGCGCCGATATTAAAATTCGCGCGGCGTTCTGTTCTTTTCATGTTGACGGCTCGCACGTTATAAGCTTTTTGAAATACAATTATATCTCATAATCGCAAAATACGTGGTGGAAACGTTCCTGTAGCGAAATGCCGACGCGAGACGACCGAAACCGGGCTCTGTACTTTAAACGACGCTTGTCAGGAGCAATGCAAATAAGTCTTCCGGGATTCGTTCTGCGATTCTTCGGAACACAAATTTCGCGTGATTATTTACGCTCGAGTGCCTCCTTCGAGACGTTACATTTATGACGTTGATTTTACGAGGAGGGGCTCTTTGAGTGTTTACGGACTGTCTCATTAGCGAGACGAGTAAGACTTTGTGTTGATGCACGCCTGTCGTCTTGCATCCGTGCCCAAATAACACGAAAAGGCAGTTAAAGTTTAAAAGGAACTTACGAAGAACGTCCAAAGCATAGGGAATATTTCGGGATATTTTCATTTTTAAATAATATTAAATAATAGGAACATATATTTGAACTTTAGCAATTTTATCTCGATAGTAAAAGATTGCAAATTTTATTACATAATATTAAAATATTGTAATTTTAAATATTATAAAAAATGTATTATGATGAGATAAAATAATTGTAAGCGAAAACTGCATTACGTTAAAATTTTATTTTTATCGACTTGCACAATGTCGATAATTACAATATATTGTCAATATTAATATAAAATCTACATAAAGTATTTTTTAATATCTCCATCTTTTTTTTTAAAATTAATTTTTCTCAAATTTTTTTAACATTTTCAAACATTAATTTTTTTTATGAAGCATTAAATTGTGTGCCAAAACATTTTTTCTCAATTTTCTTTGTGATTTACGTTGTTCATATTAATAATATGTAATATAATAATGTAATATGTAATATAATAAATGAGCTGTTGGGCACACAATATGGAAGGCATGAGTCAGCAGAAATAAAATTTTAAATATATTACATTCGAGAAACACGCACATACATATATAAATTATTGCAGCTTTGTACACACGCATAATTACTTTTTGCTTGACGTGCGGTCTATAATATATTCCCCGGTTTACGGAACGATAAAAAGTGGAAATATATATATATATAGAACACGAAGTAGATGGCACTGGATCTTAGTGGATCGAGTATACTTTGGCGAATCCTTTTGTTTTTCGAAACGAGAAGAGATATTCACTCATCTCACACCATTGTTCGGGTGGGAGGTTAAATGTAACTTCGAGTGAGAGAGAGAGAGAGAATTCGCGGTGAAAACAAGAAGGGTTTACACGCGAGAGAGCGGTACTACAGAGAGTACAAACGTCATCGATTGCTCGAAACGAAACGTCCTCGACAGAGATCGATCGAAGCAACAGCTATTCCGCGAGCTTTTCCACTGCGTGACAGAGCAGAAGTGTAGGTGGAGGAAGGTACAGTTTGGGACGTCGAGTCCACGCCGGCTCATAATTACTGGGTCGAGTGGAGTGCGAAACGATGTACGTATATACGTACAGGAAGCCTGTGCCGATGCTTCCTGTGAAATTGGAGTGTCGCCAGAGCACCGGCGTTTCGATAGCCATCTTTTGCTGTTGCATCTTATGTATGACTTATAGAACGACTTTCAAAATAGACACCTTCGCGAAAGGCCGTTAATTATTAAATATCATATTCTTCCCCCGAAAGTGTCCCAGATCTGCCACACGAATTTGTTTCCTTCGAATTCTTTTTCGAAATGACAAAGACGTCTTTGTGCCCACGGCGATTGAAATGAAAAAGTTTTTCAGGTTTGGAAATTTAGTTCTGTCAAGGTACAGCGAGGAGAACAAAACCGCGTTCTGTATTTAATCTCGAGTACAATTCGTTGTAAACACAAAACTTTTACTATCAAGTTTTTATACCAGAAAATTGTCGAGGTAATTGTGGAAAATATTAAACACGTCGACAAATATTTTCACTCTTGAAGTTTCGAGAAAATTGTTATGGAAAAATATGAAGATAATCGAAGAAAATTTCAAGGTTAATGGATAATTGATAAAGAGGAAAGATGAAGGATATATCGAGCGGATATTATTAGCGATTGTTTTGATCCGATAGTGCAATAAGAATTATATCCGATTATAACTATGTACATTCGATTAGTATGACACTGTCAAGTACGACGATTCAAGAAGGTCTGTTACAATTATCAAATGCAAAGGTAATAATTTCTTTCTCTCTTTTTCTCATTTTTTATGCCTCGATTAGCACGCTCGAATATAATATATTTTTCACGAGACAATATTTTAAATTGCATTCCGTGCCATGTTTTACAACAACGATATCATGACATTTAAACGTCATTCCCGCGACGTTGTATTTTCCATTTAATTATAAATAAATGCTGCCACGAGCGTCCTTAATTACCTGCACCTGCCATGTTTTATACAAGGGACGCAGCGTTTGAATAGAGT